CCCCAAAACCCCAAAACCCCAAAACCCCAAAACCCCAAATGAGTAGATTTAATTTTGGGTAAGAACATAAAAAAATTAGATAAATAAATTGAAAAACTATAGGTAATTTAATTTCAACAGTAATTCTGATCCATACAAAGAAGATAATAGCCTGCAGTACAATAGTTAGGATCGTTTTCATCGAGAGATTTTATTACATAGTCATAAGGGTAACCGAATTTGACCATCTATTTAACCTTCTCCTCGTCTAATTTATTGGAATACTTAGATTGGAAAGTCTCATAGGTTTTGACCATATCATCATCGAGTTCATTATTAACTGCCTTTTTATTCCTATGAATTTCTTTTTAGATATGAGAACTTTCTTTGATTCTTTTTGCGATGGCTTGTCTGTCTTACATTTATTGAATACTGTTACTGTTATCAAAGGAGTTTTCAACACTGGCTCTGCCACCTCTTTTAGGTATTTTCCTCTCAGACATCAACATTGGTATGCTTAAAATGTCAGAGTTTCCGTCTAATTAATTTGAGTTTTCATTTCCATCACTATCGTTCTCATTTTCATCGGAGTTGTATACATATTTATGATACACTCCATTATCTAGATCGCCATTGTTATTGAATTCATATTATCTATCTATTTCTCGACATCTTCTTGCGAAGTTCAATACCATCATTTTTTCGCATAAGTGTTTCTAGATTTACTCTTATGCCGTCACATCTATTTAGCTTTGAGTGGAATTAAATGGTGCAAGAATGATAGATTTAGAAGTTGCATTTTTCAAAGAATTGTATACTGACTCTAAATGATGCTCTGTAAAACAATCTACAGGCTCCTCATTCTCATTTCTATTATATCTTCTAGGATCATTGTAGGTATATTCTTTCTTGATCATATCTCTTTCTTGATCATTGAATAATTGTAGATTTGGGTCTAAATCTGCAAACCACTTATGACGATAGATCTACTTTATTGTCAGTCTTTTATCTGGGTTTACCTCTAGTAAGCCTCTAAGTAAATTTCTAGCTTCAATTGAGATGTCATCTTTCAATGTGTATTTACCTTTCACAATTAACTTATGTAATTCTTCCATGTTGTTAGCTTTGAAGGGAACTGTTCCATATAACATTGCAAAGAGCACAACACCTGCGCTCCAAATATCAACATTAAATGAGTATCCCTTATCTTTTAAAATTTCAGGTGCAATATACGCTGGAGTTCCACATTGCTCAGTCATCTTTTAACCTCTGGCTCCTTATTTTGAGACACCAAAGTCTGCAATTTTAACATTTCCTTTTCCATCAAGAAGGATATTATCTAATTTTATATCTCTATGAGCTATATACTTTGAATGAATGTAACATAGACCATCTATTATTTGTTTAAATATAACTTTGGCATATGGTTCCTTAAGCTTTCTTCTCTTCCTGACATAATTTAATAGATCTCCACCTGCGCAGAGTTCCATGACTATTATGATGTGCTTCTCAGTTTCAATAGTCTCATAAATCTTAACAACATGGTTATGTCTAAGTTTAAGAAGCAGGGAAACTTCCTTCATCAATTTAGCCTTCTATGCCTCATCAGTCAGGCACTCTTTATTAAGAGATTTAATTGCTACTAGCTTTCTAACTAGCTTGTGCATTGCTAAGTTAACTTTTCCAAAGGCGCCTCTACCAAGCATTTTCCCTATTCTGTAGAAATCAGTTGTTGTGACAGGGGGTTCATTTTGATCTTTGAAGGATTTTTAAACAAACTTCATTACTGATGCGATTTCTCTTGACCTAGGGCTTAAGTGCTTCATATCTTCATCATTTTCAATCGCTTGAGTTCTTTTCATCACCTTGCCATAGAAAGCATTATAATCAATATCTGATACCATATCTTTTATTTTCTTCTCGTCCTCCTGAGTTATGATTTAAATTGGATTATTTCTTTCTAGCTCATCGTCACTACTGTTGTGCTTGTTGTCCTCACTGAATTATTTACTCTTAGGTCTATCATTCGATTGATGTGTGGATTTTTTATTTTGCTTGACTACAGACTTTTAGTCTGAAATTTCAATCTCAGGAATATCATCTTTCTCTATTAGCTTTTGAGATGACAGAATTTGTTATTATTACTAAACGATAAGTGGAGATTAAACAGAGATTTTAGTATCGCTCTGCTTCTAAGGCGCAACCTTCTTGAATTCAATTACATTAGTCTTGATGGATTGTGCCTTACTATCGATTAGACTCTCAGTAATATTTCCACTTTCTTGAAGCTGCTTTAGTAGAGATATTGAATCTTCTTTATATTTTTAAAGCTTTATCTGCTCAATAGTTTATCCTTTGTCAGCACTTATTTTTTTAATTTTCTTCATTTCTTAGGCTTTCATTTCAAGTTCTTTTTCAAATGGAGTTTTATCTACAAAATTTATCTGCTATTACTTCTTATTGAATTATGTCTACCCAATTAGTTTCTCTTCAATCTCATTTGATTAATGCTTAAACATATCCATTGATGGAGTTGAGATTTTTGGAGGTTCCACCGACTAAGTTTTCTTTCTCTAAATTTGCATTGATCTCTATTCAAGTTGAGAGAAATTATCTATGATTTAAGGTCCAGAGTTTTAATTTAAGCTCATCATCTAATTCTACTCTGAGATTGTCTTTTTTTTGCCATCTAGAGAATCGTCTTCATCTATCATTTTGATCAAGCTACTATTATCAGTTTGCTTCCTAACTGGCTGTTTATTAGACTGGTAGTTTGACAAACTTATCTACTATGAATATAAAACAGGGTTTTGATTTGACTGGGCTACTACTGAACTAGGCTTAGATCTCTTAGTCTCTTTAAGTAATGGGCTTTTGACACCTTAAGATAGAGCAATTTACTATTATGATTGTCTCAAATTTTGTAGCTATTCTAAATACTGAGTAATTTGATTTTAGTCATTTTAAGGGATTATCTGGGTAGGGTGCTATGAATAGGTCTAAGTCTCATTACTAAGGACAGAGTTTTTGCTCATTAAAAGTGCATTTGGAATTTAACTGATCTAGTTTGATCCAGTGCCTCCATCATAATATCTGGGACCTGGAGAGAATTCCGACTTTTAAGAATGAGACTTTTGATGCTTGATCTTATTTAGCTTCATGCTTTTCTGTCCTTCGCTTTAAATTGATCTTATTTCCTCCATATTAAGGAATTCATGGCTGGATAATGGTTGTGGATCTTCTTCCATTATTTCCCCAATCATCTTAGTCGGCTGATAGAACTGCTATGGCTATACCATTGATGAATGCATAGATTGCACCTGAGACTGAGATTAAGTCTAAGACTATGAAGACGTGAGTTGATGTTTATTCATCATTTAATTTTCTAAGCTAGATATCATAGCCAGTGCTTTCAATTCCTCATCCTTATTAATCTTCTTTAATTTTGACTAATGATTCATAGCTACTTAACCAAGATAAGCCTATTTTTTAAGAGTTTCAGCAATGGATTCAAAGTCAGCTGGCATCTGATAGTACTGAGGTGGGTGCTACTGAACGGTTTTTTGTTTCATATTGTTTCTTTTTGGAGTAATGCCTCTATTAGATGGGGAATTTTAAGCTGTATTTGCGCTGGTTGTAATTGAACCACTTTTATATCTATTTGGCTACATATTAGTAGCATACTATTTTGCAAACTTTTACTTTTAAGATCTATTCAATTAATTGACGAAGCTCTAGGTACCTATCAGTTTTGCTGTATTATTGGTAACTGAGCTTCCATTTGTAGCAAATTACTACTTACTAGAAGATCTCTTGGTAGAATTACCACCGCTGCTCAATATATTTTTGGCTGTATTATTATGATTATTTTAATACATTTATTACTTGACAATCAAACTTTCTTAAGGAAACTACATTATCCCAGCTATTCTCTTCAAGAAGTTAGGGGAGGGCGTTCTACCCATAACCATTCTTCTGTCATATTGCTGTTAAGACTTCTAGTTGCTGTTATTTAACGATTGCTGCATAGTCTAATTTGTAGTTCTTTTGTTCTTTTATTGTTACAGATTATTTGAGCCTTATGATGATTATTGCAAATTTGTCCTAGTATGGCTTTTTTATGATGGACTCTATCTTATGACTTTTTAAGTATTTTGTTTCGCATTTTAGTTTTAGCTGACAGATCTCTGGCCAAACTATAAGTATGAATTCTAATCATCAATTTTCTAAGAATACTAGGATACATTATGTGGGCCTTGTATAAATTGATCGTAAAGAGTCGCATCTAAATAGGATTCATCTTATGTTTAACCATATTATTGGTTAACTTAGGTTTTATTTTTACCTATTAAATTTAGCTGTTGATTGCTTTTTGAAAGCAAATCATCGTATAAATACATCGAGGAGTCGTTTAACTGATCCTAAGAATTGGCCTCTAATGAGTATTAATCATTCTGACGATATAAAGAGCTCTGTGGATTAATTTTATATGAATTAGTTGAAGGATTTTTTGACATGTAAAAACTTTAGATACTGTTAGGATTATTTGTGTTGTAATTTAATGAAGGATGTATGCTTTAAGAATTCTAAAATTTCTAATTAGGCATACCCTTTTTCCTTGAGTTAGACCTAGCACCCTAATTGGTGGTTACAAGAGCTCTGCTAGATATACCCATCATATTTTGAATCATCGGATGATTTCCCAAAGTTTATTATACAGAAAGATTTTTGTTAGAATTAGCGACCGGTAATTGTTGCTAATTTTTAAATTGGGAACTAGTGTAGTTGTAAATATCTGGAGTTTTAGACTAAGGAATTAATCTACCAGTATTATTATTTGGAGTGTTACCCTGAGAATAGTATCCCATTTAACTTTTGGACTTTTGATACAGATTAACTAAAAAAATAAAGGAGCAATTCTAATTACCTTTTTCATCCTCGAGGTATTTTTAATAATCTAGCACTGGATTGTACTATCTCTTACCAGGCAGGTACTAGTTTTAAGAGACTATTTGACCTGTTTAGCTTGCAATTTGCTGCTGTTTAACTGAAATATCATTACGATAATCAATAATACCTTAAAATTACGTTTTCAAGTAATTGCTCCCTAGAGGAGTGGCTCCTTCACTTTTGTTTTTTTAGTGATGAGAGAACTTTTAACTGTTCTTTAAAATGTTGTTTTAGGCGGCTTCATTGGGTCCAAGTTCATTTTGTTCGCAATCTATAAGGTGTCATCAGATTTATTCTGTTTTATTAATTTAAATTACATTATTGAATCAGTTTGAGATCATCTTTCTTTATTTTAAGACCGCGCTGAGTAGGGACATTTCCACTTTACTGAATAATAATGACAGGCTATGTCTGCTTTATAGAAATTGATTTGGTATTGTTGCCGGACTTCTTTCTAGCCCGTTAGCTTGATGGATTTGACTAAACGTTTGAAGTCAGCGCTTAGCTGTTTCCATAAAATTAATTCATAATCATATTGAATTCAACTCAATAATTATTTCATTTTAAATCTTCATGTAATTCATACTATCCAACTTTTGTAGTATTAAACTAAGGGGTTTTGGGGTTTTGGGGTTTTGGGGTTTTGGGGTTTTGGGG